TTTAAGGCCCCCCCCCCCCCCCATTTTAACAGTGAAGTGGTAACTATAGGCTTTTGGAAATTTATTTATTTATTTATTTATTTATTTATTTATTTATTTAATATAGCCACCCATCTCACATATATGATTCTTTGTTCCAAGTCCCACCATTATGTTCAATGCAAGCCTTGAAAGATGCCAATTTCAAGATTTTTTTCAGAGCTTTAAAAGTGGAGATGAGAGTAGTTTGTTTAGTGGTCTCCTGATTTATTCTTCCTCCTAACTGCTCCACATTTCTTTTTTTAAAAAAGGATTAACATTGGACTGAAAAATGGTAGTGAGGGTGAGAATATAAATGGTTTACCTCTCAGAAGCTTCATGCTCTCATTCCTATTTTGGAAGGGGGGAAGGAAAAAAAATCAACAATGATAAAATTTGACTATTTTGTCATTGAATTTTGGCAGTGCAATCTCAGAAATCTCAGAGATACAGGGAGCCACAAACAAGGTGCTGGGTAGCTGCAAGTTAAACTGCTGGATCTATAGCATAACAGATTCTTAGGTTATTTTCCACTTAAGACTTCTTCATAGGAAATTAATTTGCCACTGGCTATTATGGATAAACGGTAACAATATTTTCTTCAAAAGGAATATTTATGATGCTCTATATGCTGTTCCACTCCTTTCCAAAGGAACAGGGGAGGGAGTGAGGGACAGGAAAAACCTTAAACCCCTTAAGTGAGGGGTGCCCAGGCCCTACACTCCTATTCAGGTACATGAACATGGTGAGATCATCCAGTGGCACAGGGTCAGGTTTCATCAGTATGCTGATAATAACCAACTGTACATCTTAATCTTTGGCTGAATAAGTGATGCTGTTGAAGTGCTTTCAAGGGCCTGGAAGTTCTCTGCCTGGAGGAGAATTAGATTGAGACCTAATCCCAACAAGATGGGAGTCACTGTGGGTTTGAAAGCTGTCTGCTTCCTGGGAGATTCCATCATTAATTTTGAATGGGGTTGTGCAGATTTGGTTCACAGTTTGGGAGCCCTCTTAGACTCACAGCTCTTGCTTGAGGAGCAGGTGGCATCTATGGCTAAGTGGACCTTTGCTCAGCTCCATCTAGTGAGCTTTTTCTAGAATGGCAGCCAATATTCACGTCACTCATGCCTTAACCAGTTTATTGTTTATTGTGAAACTTAATTGGACTACTGAAGTGCACTGTACCTACCATTGAAGAACATTTGGAAGCTGCAATTGCAGTGGCTTGGGTAGTGATGGGTGTTCCTTGAGAAACCCATGTTGCCAGTTGTTTTTCAAGTACAATTTAAGGAGCTAGTTGTCACCTTTAAAGCCATTCATGGTTCAGCGGTTGGGTATCTGCAGGATCACTTTCTTCCTACAATATCTACCTGCCTAATAAGATCTATCAGGGAAGGCTCTTTACCTGTCCCCTCAGTTAGGGACTGTCATCTTTTAGGGCCATGTAAGTATGTACTTTCAGTCACTGCTCCCCTTCTCTAAAATAGCATTCTGCACATTGTGTGATTGCCCCTTCCCTTTTAAGAAGTTGGTTGTTCCATCAAGTCTGGGGGTTAGAAGCCTGGGGGTCAGGAGGTGGGGCTGAGCCTGTACATTAGTTATGTCAACTTGTGACTGATGAGTCTGTTTTTACCCAGGCTGCTATTTTATGTGCATTTTTTTTTGTTTTCCTGTTTTTTATGCTTTTATATTTTTCATTTAACACTGTTCATTACCCAGAGTCATGAACCTGAGATGGGTGACCATATAAATAATCAATCAGTAAAGTCAAGGAGGGTGGATTGTTCCTTTGGTCTCTTGATTGGGAGTCTTTCTTTACAATTGTTAAATTTTTTAGTCATGACCTCCTGATCCATAAGAGTATTTCTAGTTGCTATTTTACATTATTGTATGTTTTTAGTTGTTCCACACTGCTCAGAGTCAGCAGACTGGAGCAGCCTATAAACCCAATCAATCAATCAATCAATCAATCAATCAACCAGCTTAGAGAAACTGCAGAAAATAAGTTTACAAGACATATCATAGAAAGACTCATAAAAAATCTAAAGGATTATTTCTTTTCACACTTTTTCTCTAATTGGCAACAATCTGAAATTTTGACCATAAAGGTGCAGCTACTGATACTGGATGGATAAATAATGTGAAAAGGTTATTAGATTCAGTCAAGTAAATACATCTGAAGTATGCTTAATTGTATACAACCACAGAATAGGGATGCAACACATGCCTTGCACATACAAGATCCTAAATTCTGAAGAACATTTAGATGAAAACAATGGAAAGATTCTACTAGAGACTTATGAATCTAGATATAGAAACTTAGGGGAAGAGATGCCAATTTAAAAAGGCCGCAATGGGTTGGTTGAAAAGGCTATTATGTAAATTTGTTTATTCAAGTATTTGTATCCTCTTCTCCTCTCCATAATTGAAATATACAAAGCTTCTAGTAATAAAGACATTCACTTTTCCTAATATTTTAAATTAATTATATTTCTTTAGTTTGTAAACATTCAAGCATTAGGCTCCAGTGATCATTAATCTATTAAATTGACTAAGAATGTGTAACTAAAAACTGCCCAATTCATTGCATGTTAAATTGCAGCTGGCAAGTATAATCTTCAAAAAGGAATGCTCACTTCCCTTGATGGAAAGCTTTTAATAAAATAAAAATTAGGATTAATGGTTTCAAATTTATTTAATAAAGTCAACATCTTATCAAATATACTACACTTCACTATCAGTTTAGTCAGTTAAAGCTTGACTAATGATTAGTTAGCTTTGAAACTTAAACCCTGTGAATAGAACACCAAGAAAGAAGTGACTTAAGACTACATATACAGTATTATAGTACAACTCTATATAATGTGTACCCATATTAAAAATCAGAATGGAAAAGTTGCATGTAAATATATAACTGTATCTGCATTTCTTTACCTCTGAAATATACAGAGAAATTTTCTATACCATGCAGGTTTTACAAATAATTTTATGCACAATGTACTTCAGATTACAAATTGGTGTTACATTAAATGCCACCAACAGTGTAATCCCATGCACAAGTGAGATACCCTTTCATAATAGTGCATTTAATTAACATCCAAATCCTAAATTATCACAGATGGGACTATTCCATCTATGTAATCCATAGATGCATTATTTTTACAAATAATTGCATGCATATTTAAAAGTCACATCTGGCAACATGTCATATATATCAAAGTTAAAAATTAAGATTTTGCCATGTTTATCTCTAGCAATAAAAAGAGCTGAATGGATCACTTTTCTAGTAATCAGACCTAACCCAGCCCAGATTTAAAACTTTTTCTTTAGTTAACCAACATGTAACCCTTTTCTGCATCTAGGTAAAGAAAATGCAAAATACAATTGATAGTATTATAGGAATTATTGAAAAGAAGAATTTATCTCTGGGGCAGTGAATTATCTTCAGGTTAAGCTGAAATAAATTAAGATAGTTCTAGTGCTAAGAATGAAGTTCACTTTTCTCAATAACTGGACAAGGGCAGATGTAAACTTAATTGTGATTATCAGAGCCATTAAATTTGTCTCATTGAGATTACTAGTGAAAAATATTAAAATAAGAACTACATAGGAACAGAACAAATGCTTAGTCCAACATTTACTCCAGGCAGTGAAATGGCACCCCTCTTACTCACAGCCCCACGAAATATAGGGAAATATTCAGACATTCAGTATATTAATAATAGAACCAACACATAACCACCAAAAATAATAAACTAGTCATCCTTGACAACCGTATCTTCCTATCAAGCCGTATCTTCCGTATCTTCCGTATCTTCCTTGACAACCGTATCCTTCCTAAGGACCTATTGTGGAGGTCCTTATTCCTAAAGGATAAGGACCTCCACAAAGACAAGTTCAGGGACGTAAGGCACCTAACACTCATCTAAGTCATAATATTGGAGTATATTAAACTCAAGTACTCCTATGCACAAATGTATCAGTTCCTTAATAAAGCTGCAATTTCTACTTCTGAAATCAGTGTGCCAGTTAAAAGATTACTAGTTGTAGTTTTGTAGTTTAAATCCCTTTTTTGGTGAAAACCTCAAATGATTAATTTTGCATATAGAATCCAGGGAAGTAAGCAAAATATCCTTGGATGGGTTACAGAAACAGTAAGAAAGGCACGTAAAAGTC